TAACCGCGCCTCTGCCCCTGGGATCCCATAAAAGTCCCCCTTGCCCTAGGAAGGCGCGCAAGTCCTCCAAGAGACTTCGCCCCAGGTACCTGGTCTAAATAAACCCTCTTGCTTTTGCATCTGATCTGTGGTTTCGGTGTGTTCCTTGGGTTTGGGGTCTCTCCCGGAGAAAGATCTCAGCCGGGGGTCTTTCAATGGTAAAAGTTATGAAGACAAATAAAGCAAGGCATAAAAACATCTTTACTGTAAGTGTCACAGCTCTGAGGGGAAAGGTTTCCCCAATGGGAGTGCTGCAGCTCTGAAGGGAACGGTATCCTAGCAACTGGGAGCCAAGGAATACCACAATGTCACACCACACAACACACCTCACACGAGAGACTTATTGGGAGACACACATGAAGGTGGCTGCCTCTGCTTGGGAGAGAAGCAGCGAAGAGCTGAGTAGGAGGCAGACTTACATGGGGTTTCTTGGAGGGAGATATCCAGGGTGGGGATTGGTGGAATTTCAAGTCCTGAGCTTGAGATGAGCTCAGGGATTGGTGGGATTTCAAGCTCAGGTTTTGGTGAGTTTTTGAGCCCGGGGATTGGTGGAATTTTAAGCCCCGGAAGGGACCTCGGACTTTTTACCAGACAGTTACACTTATGGATTATTTTATTTTGGTAATTAACATAAATTTTTAAAAATGAATAACTGAAGAAGGAAGGGGTCTATTTTAAAGCAAGAGTATTACATTGTAGCATTATTTGAAGTCACAGAGGGAAAACTCAATGTCCAACAACAGGAAAAGGAAAAAGAAAATGATTTAGAATATTTTTTAAAAATCCTACTACAAAGAGCATTTCTAAAGTTGTTTAACCTAATTTTTTTAAAGAATATTTTATAAGTAGGAAGAAAAATGTGCATAAAGAAAGGAAAAGAGCTGGTGACAAGATTGTACAATTCTGTACAAGATTTTCTGTTAAATTTTAAAATTAAGAAGTATTATCTATAAGTGCTCAGGATGATGTTCTTTAATCTTTTTTATAATTTTTCATTTCTAGCATGAGAATTTTTGATTTTCTGATATTTGTGGTATTTTACAGTGTGGGTTGCATAGGGAAAATAAGTTCTGGGGTTGTATAGTTCAGGGTAGTGTTTGGCTTCCATACACAACACCCTGGGTCCCCAGTACAGCCAAACGATAAATGGATATGTAAATGGTTCTAGAATAACTGTGTCAAGAATTTTTTAAAGGATATACATGAAAAATAATATTCCTAAGAAAAAAGCAACTGAGCCGGGAGGTGGTGGCGCACGCCTTGAATCTCAGTACTCAGGAGGCAGAGGCCGGTGGATCTCTGTGAGTTCGAGGCCAGCCTGGTCTATAGACAGAGATCCAGGACAGGCACCAAAACTACACAGAGAAAACCTGTCTCAAAAAACCAAGAAAAAGAAAAAAGCAACTGAAAAATGTGTTTATCTTATTCTTTCTTGAATGAAAACAAAACAAAAACCAGCACCTGTAGCAAGAACATTATGGGCAAAAGGTGTGGTGACCCTGGTTTTAGAATTTCTGCAACAGGATCCTATATTAAATTCCTGCTATTGAATTTCCTTGGGTGGGCCCTCTTTTCTGATTGGATAACCACTAATAGTGATGCTATTCTTGGACCAAGTCTTACTGTACTACGAAAGGCAGATGCGCAAACACCCCCGTATTGAATGTTGGGCTTTCTTCTGTTTCTCCCTCCCTCCGTTTGCACACAATCTGCACACACCTTTTGTCCCTTCAGCCTGCAGCCAGGAGGTCCTGAGTCAACAAGGAGACCTGAAGTAAGAACAAAAGAAAGATTTTGCTCTGTCTCTCAAGGAAAACTACAGAGGCTGAATCTTGTTAAATATTGTCTGGAAAGTTAAAAGTAAAAAGCACTTGATTCTAGGACAAAGTGCCTGTTGCTACATCTTGCTGCTGGTGACAGTTCATGTGGAATGTGTAACCGTGGCTCTGTGTTTTTCTAAAAAGCAAAGATCCCTCTTTATGGTGCTCTAATTTTACATGAGTCCTATCATATTATAAGAATCATAATTGCCACATATATCTTTTTATTTTTAAAGTTTCCTCTAAATAATGTTTAAGAAGCATTGCAAACTTATTTTTTTGTAAGCTCGTGCATAGCTTTCTGAAAAATGTGAGACTCCATAGATTTCTTTGTTCAAAATACTGAGAGAGAATCACAGTGTCCATGTAAGTCTCTTATTATCGTCTTAAATTGAAAAAGGCAATATTCTAGTAAAATAAATAATTCCAGTAAAGATAAAAGTTTTTAAGCACTGTTGTTCCAGAAATGCATAGAAAACTTGTGGTGGATCAGCACAAGTGTAGCATTCAAAGTCCCCCTTGCAGCTAAGAAATGCTGTCCTAAAGCTAAATATCTCCTTTTACGTCCTTGGTGGGGGAAATGTCAATAGTGCATGAATGTGTAAGTAGTGTTACAACAGATAGTATGGTTTAGAACTGAAAAGAAGAAAAGAACACTCTTAGAGACACTGCCTCACTGACCAAGAAACGAACAATAATGGGCATTGTCTGGGTGGGCACCGTCCGCAGGCCCTCCTCCACCACCCCACACTGTTAGGAGGAGAACGTCAGAGGTTCTGGAGGCAGCAGGCTGCCTTCTCACTGCAGTGCTGACCGTGGGCTTCTTTTCACCTTCCCTCAGTTTCCTAGGGTTTAGTCTGTTAAAGACCAACCCAGACATTTGCATCAGTAGCAAAACAGCCTTGTTTATTTAATAATGTAATTTTAGTTTTCATGAGTCATATCTTAACTGCACTATCCAGTAGAGCATTACTTTGCTATTTTAAACTCTGCTGTGATAGCCATATAACAGTCTAATCTTATGAAAGTGGCTTGGAGTGGGTCACTGACTTATCTAAGATCCCTTGGTAGGTGACAAAAGGTATGGTCTGACCCAGATTTTACCCAACAATCTTCGTGCCTTAACACCTAGTGTCGGCTGCCTCAATTTGGATGTTTATGATAGTCCAAGTCACATAAGAAAATATATTTTTACCTTTGTGTATGTGGGTATATTATGTGTATGAATGTGATATGGTGTGTATGTGTATTTTCACATGTGTGGAGATCAGAAGACAATCTCAGGTTTCAGTTCTCACTTTCAGTTTGTTTGAGACAAGGTCTCTCGCTCACCGTTGTTTGTTTCCACCAGGCTAGCTGGCCCATGAGCTTCCAGGGATTCTCCCTGTCTGCCTTCCATCTTTGTAGGAATGCTGGAGGTGTACATTCCCACTATGGTATATGACAATCTGAGCTCAGCACCTCACAGTTTTGTACAAATGCTTCCCCCCCAACCCCCCCTTAAAGAAGAAATTTAACAATTTAGTTGCTCATTTGTCCTCACCATCTAGTCTTGGAAGTGTGATTCAGAGGTATCTCGCTCACTTCTTGCTACATGAAGACACAGACTATGGCCCAGTTCAAAGCTAGATTGCTAACTGCCCCCCTCCCCATGTTGAAAAGCTCCCTTTGCTCCTCACTGGTCAATGTCCTTGGATGAGTTAATTCAATCCATCTTTCTCCAACTGCAGAAGAGTTATTAGTCACTAACTCAAGACCATTTCAAGAACCAAATAAGTTAATGTGCTGCAAGTCTGGTAAACAGTAAGCTATTAGTGTGTTGCCAACATACTCCCTTCCTCCTCGAGACAATTACCTGCATGAATGTGTGCACCAGAGTAACATTTTGATTATGGTAAGTGACTAAAACGTGGGGGAATGAATTTAGTTCTCAGACTCACACTTCATCATGCTCAATTCCAGCATGCTTCTGTCTCTCACGTTCTTAATTTTCTACCAAAGATCTTCCTCCTTTCTTATGTTCTTTGGGTTAACCATTGCCCAGGTCACTAAAACTGTAGCCTGTGCTCACAACATCCCATCACACTTGCATAGATTGCAGGTAGTCTGCATAAAACCATTAATTGTTTTCAGGAGTTTCGGTCAGTTTCTGACCTCTACAGAGCTTACAGCAGTCTGCAGGTTCATTCTTGTTTTTATCAGAATTCAGTGGTTTTCTGCCAGCCGGCAGTGACCTTGGACTGTGTAGTGGGTAGCCATTCCAGCTTGGTTCTGGAAGTTCCAACCCCCATTGAGACTCTGGGCGCTCTCCGGCACCGAGAGCGCCCAGAGAGAGCGCTGACCCATCCAGCTCTCGGGTCCCCCGGCGCCTCCCCTCGCCCCGCCTCGTAGGCGTGACAGTTGCCAGAGTCTCAATGGGGGTTGGAACTTCCAGAACCACGCTGGAATGGCTACCCACTACAGGACTGTCTCACTGTAACCAAGGCACTGGGTTTCATGAAGCATGTATTTGCATTTGTTTACACCTGTTCAGTGGGATGCTAAATGTTAGGGATAGAAAACAAGGCGGGCCCAGGCGCAGCCTCCCAGGATCTGTCCCTGGAGTTTCCTATGTCTTTGTCACTGTGTCATCAGTTAGCCGTGGTCCTAGGACAGGAACTGATCTTTGTAGCTCAGACTGCACTAGAATAAGACCTTGATCCACAATGAACCTGGCTTTCGTGTGTCCACGCAGGCTGTAAGTATGCACATTAACAAAATGTCCCTCTGTCCTGAATTACAAGACCTACTGTCCCTCCTCAACCACACTGAGTACTTCTGTGCATTCTCAGAGGCCTTCCTCTGGGCTCACAAACTCAGTCATCTCGATGACTGCATCATGCCCTCCACTGCTCTGCTCATCGGCAACAGGGCCGTGAGGAATCTGCTCTCTAGGCCTTAACACAGAGATGTTTGATATATTCGTGACCAAGTTATGGAAGTCATTCTCACTTGGAGCCTAAGCTCTGATATCAATGAAACCAAGCTTCTGGGTAATTGTTAACGGTGTGATGAAAGGGGCTTTGTATTTATTCACTGTGCTTTCTCCCTAGAATTCATCTGTGAGTACAGCGGCTGTTGTGAGTGCAAACAGGGCTCCACCCACCACCCAGTTCTCCTTTCCAGGCCTTGGCAGGACCCAGAGATGTGCTCATACCTGTCTGAATTCTGTTGTAAGGACACTTTGCTCTACATCCTTATAAAATCAGCTCTACATTAAAAACGTACAGGATTAATTATACTATGCTTGCCATTTTTAAAAGATAACATTTATTCAGAGACATGACCAGGCTATGATATTTAGCAATCCACAGTGTAAGTGAAAAAGTCTGCATGAATACCTTTGATGGAATGCTTTACACTGTCCTCAGAACACAAACTCCAATAACCTGTTACATAATCCATCCCAAATACGGTCCTAGAGATTTTTTGACCAAACATGAAAGTCTTGACTGAAGTATATGTCTTCTATGTGGCAGCTGGCCCCACCACCGCTGTGCTTGGCTGACTTCGGAAGCCTGTTGTAACCTGTAAGCTTTCCTGTCATTTGTCTGCTCTCCTACCCTGCTTAGCTGTTTCCTGGCAGTAACTAGAACCTCCTTCCACTGCTGCAGACACAGCTGGACCACTTTGGCTTTGTGACTTTTTGACCTCCACCACAGTAACTGACAGAGCTTCTGCCCCCCCCCCAAAGTTTCCTCCCTTTGCAAATTTGATGATTGTAATTGCCAAAAGCATAATAGCTTCTGGCACCTCCAGAATGGCTTCCGTCATTATCACCTCCATTTTAGCCATCTCCCCTGCTGCCATATCCACCACCATGGCTGCTGTCAAAGCCATTTTCAGCACTAAAGTTTCCTCCATGACCAAAACTGTCATCGCCACCAAACCACATTCACAACTACCAGCAAGGTTTTTTAAACCACTTTTACCTCTTAGGTTAGATGAAGCATGAGGCATCTCTTGCTTAGATGGGGTTTTTCTGACTTCATAGCTGTGACCATTCATAACGTGGTGTTTCTGAATGACAATCTCATCCATGGACATCAAATGCAGGACAAGCAAAGCCCCTCTCAGGATCTCAATCACTTCAACTTTTCCACCTCTGAGCAGGTGATGGTCTCCAGTGTCGTCTTCTTCCATACCAACAAGAGACCTTTTTCACAGGAGAGAGGACATCTGGTCCTTGAGAATCTTCTCTTCACACAGCTCTCTTTGGTTCCACAACTTGTCTTGGCATCCATAGCTGCATCACCTCTCCACAGTGGCCAAAGGAACAAACCTGAGCCCCTAGAGAGCTTGGTGTTTGGATTTCTCATGGCCACGCAGGCTGGAAGTATGCTCAGAATGGCTCCCTGGACTGCCATTGTTTGTTTCAAAGCTTTAAGGAAGACCTTTTACAGCCAGATTTTGCAAAGGGAATGTGCTGGGGTAGCAGATATGGAATTTGTCTTCAGTTTCACATAGCTCTACGGGTCTTTAACAAAATTTTTATTTATAAAAGATATTTTTAAAAAATTGTACCATATCATACTTGTTCACAATGCACTATGATCATACCACTCCCTAAATAACCCTCTCTCATTCTGGATAGAAAAGTATACATACATGATTGTGTACTTTGACCACCATACTTCCACCAACTGTATCTTTAGGATAAAACCAGAGCCTGGGTGGAATGGAGAGATTACTATTTCCAAACAGTATGTAGGATTCAAAGATAGTATATAGTTTTTGTAATAGTGTCTTTTAAGAGAGTAAGTTTACTCAGGAGAAATACTTGTGATTGATAGAAATCAATAGATGCTTTTATAAGTAAAACAAAGTATACATAGTTAAGCATATTTTTTTAAAAAATGTATGTTGTAGTTTTCTTCTGGAACCACAAATAATTCCATCATGTTAAAGAC